AAAGAAGCGATGGTTTTGCCTGTCGTGACGTCATCAGTGACGTCACACCCAGCGATGACGTCATCAGTGCGGACTTCCCCGTGTAACGAAGCGATGGTTTCACCCACGGTGACGTCACCAGCGCTGTCACCTCCAGGGACGACGCCGTCACCTCCACCGATGACGTCATCAGGCGTGTCACCCACGCCTTCACCCTCGGGGAGGCAGGAAGTGACGTCATCCCTGGACGTGACGTCAGCGGGAAGCAGAGCCGTGACGTCATCATCGTCATCGTCACCGGGGGTTTCCTCCGGCGGCGGCGCCGTCACCGTGATGGTGATGCCACCACAAGTGTCCCCAACCTCGTCCCCTTCCACGTCCCCGACACCCCCCGGGATGGGGACACCCGCGTCCCACGTCTCCCCTTCCCTGGAGGTTGACACGTCCTCATCTTTTTTGTCCCCAAACCCTGGAATGTCCCCAACGTCCCTCAGGATGGTGACGTCCCCAACCACGTCCCCAAGGCCACCTTCGTCCCCAGTGCCCCATAGAGTCGGGAATTCCTTGGTGTCCCCAAGCGTGGGGACGTCCCTGCCCCCATGGGGAACGTCGTCAATGTCTCTTGGGGTGGTGACATTCCTGTCCCCAGTGTCCCCAATGTCCCCAACACCTCGTAGCAGAAAGGCCGCACCCTCCTCCCCAGTGTCCCCTTGGGTTGGGACATCCCTGCCCCCAAAGTCCTTTGGGGCTGAGATGTCTTTGTCCCCAAAATCTTTGTCCCCAGAGTCTTTGTCCCCAAACTCCTTGTCCCCAAACTCTTTGTCCCCAAAGTCCCTCAGGGTTGGGACCTGGATGTCCCCAACTTTCTCATCCCAAACATCTCCTGGGGTTGGGACATCCCCATCTCTTGCGATGATCGAAGTTGGGACAACCATGTTCCCAATGTCCCCAAAGTCCATGAGGGATGGGATGTCCTTGTCCCCGTTGTCCTTGTCCCCTATGTCCTTGTCCCCAAAACCCACGAAGGGTGGGACCTCCTTGTCCCCAGCGTCCTTGTCCCCAGCATCATTGCCCCCAAAGCCCACGACAGATGGGACCTCCTTGTCCCCAATGTCCTTGTCCCCAAAGCCTATAGGGGATGGGACATCCTTGTCCCCAACGTCCTTGTCCCCAAAGCTTATAGGGGATGGGACATCCTTGTCCCCAATGTCCTTGTCCCCAGAGTCCATGACAGATGGGATCTCCTCCCCAAACTCAATGTCCCCAGTGTCCTTGTCCCCAAAGCCCATGAAGGATGGGACCTCTGTGTCCCCAACGTCCCCAAGGTCCATGAGGGATGGGACCTGCTTGTCCCCAACGTCCTTGTCCCCAATGTCCCCAAAGCTCATGAGGGATGGGGTTTCCTTGTCCCCACCATCCTTGTCCCCAAGGTCCTCATCCCCCATGGTTGGGACACTTTTTTCCTTGGTGTCCTCGTCCTTAGGGGCTGTGACATCCTTGTCCCCAATGTCCCTTAGGGTTGGGATGTCCCCAAAGTCCCTTAGGGTTGGATTGTCCCCAAAGTCCTTATCTCCATGAACCAGGACATCCCCGTTCCCAGTGTCCTTCTTTAGATTGGGAACGGGGACATCCCAAACCTTGTCCCTTAGGCTGGTGACATTCCTGTCCCCAAAGCCCTTGTCCCCATCGTCCCACACACCGATGACATCCCTGTCCCCATCACTCTTGTCCCCATCCCCATCCTTGTCCTCATAGACTGGGACATCCCTGTCCCCCATGTCCCCAAGGGTTGGGACACCCCTGTCCCCAGCATCCTTTAGTGTCACCCCCTCTGTCATCTCAGTGTCCCTTAGGGCTGTGACACCGATGCCACCATCCCCATCCCCAACATCCTTCAAAGTTGGGACATCTCTGTCCCCGACATCTTTGTCACACGGAACAGGGATGTCCCCAAGCTCCACGTCCCCATCCCCAATGTCCTCAGCAGTGATGTTTGGGGCATCATCCCTGTCCCCAATGTCCCCAATGTCCCAAATGTCCCCGACGTCCTCATCCGCCGGTGCCACCGTGACGGTGATGGTGATGCCGCTGGCCCAAGGAGTGACGGTGACCTCGGGGACATCAATGTCCCCTTTGGGGACACCGCTGTCCCCCTCTGTCACCTCCCCAGGGAGGGCACACCCCTCAGCCATGGAACCTGGGGGGGAGGGAGGGAGGAAAAATGGGGACAGCGATGTCACTGCTGGTGATATGGAAACATGGAGGGGAATGGGGGGGATGTGGGGGGATGGTGGTACCTGGGTCCTGGGTTTGGGGTCCAAGTGCTGGAATTTGGGGTCCCAGTGCCGGAATTTGGGGTCTTTGATGCTGATTTTTGGGTTCAAGAGCTGGAATTTGGGGTCTCCAATGCTGATCTTAGGTCCCAGTGCTGGAATTTGGGGTCTCCAAAGCTGATTTTAGGTCCCAGTCCTGGGTTTGGGGTCCAAGTGCCGAAATTTGGGGTCCCAGTGCCGGAATTTGGGGTCTCCAATGCTGATGTTTTGGTTCAAGTGCTGGAATTCAGGGTCTCAGTGCCAGAATTTGGGGTTTCCAATGCTGATTTTAGGTCCCAGTCCTGGGTTTGGGGTCCAAGTGCCGGAATTTGGGGTCCCAGTGCCAGAATTTGGGGTCTCCAATGCCGATTTTTGGGTTCAAGTGCTTGAACTCAGCGTCCCAGTGCCAGAATTTGGGGTCTCCAAAGCTAATTTTTAGGTCCCAGTGCTGGAATTTCGGGTCTCCAATGCTGATTTTTGGGTCTGAGTGCCAGAATTAGGGGTCCCAGTGCCAGAATTTGGGGTCTCCGATGCTGATTTTTGGGTCTGAGTGCTGGAATTTGAGGTCCTAGTGCTAGAAGTTGGGGTCTTGGCGTTGGGTTTGGAGTCCAAGTGCAGGAATTTGGGGTCCTTGATGCTGATTACATCATCACAGGGCTGCTTTTGGGATCTCAGGGTAGATTTTGGGGTTTCGGTTTCAAGGTCCTGGTCTCAGATTGTGTCGATTTTGGGGTCCAATTCCAAGATCCTGGTGCTGGTTTTGGGATCCCAGGGCAGATTTGGGGGGATCCCAGTTCTGGGGTCCCGGTGCTGTTTTTGGGGGTCTCAATTCCAAGGTCCCAATTTCAGTTTTGGGATCCAATTCCAAGATCCTGTTGCTGTTTTTGGGGTCCCGCCTTCAGTTTTGGGGTCCCAGCCTCAAGGCGTTGATTTTAGGGTCCCCATTCCTGGTGCCAACTGGGGGTGTGAGGGGGGGGGTCCTGGTTCCAGTTTAGAGCTCCCAATTTCAGGGTTCTGCTTCTGGGGTCCAAATTTCAGCCTTCTGCACCCTTTTCAGGATCCCCACCCCCAAAATTTTGCTCCCCCATCCCCCACTTTTCATCCCCCACCCCCCAGTTTTGGACACCCATCCCTAAATTTTATC